AGGAAAATACTCCATCATCTATTCTATCTTTGTGAGTCTAAATTTTTTATATCTAATTTATCTTTTATCATAAATAAGGAAAACTATAACTATTTGTCTTCAACTCCATCATAGACTTCAGAAGGATATAATATTACCTAAGTAAACAGTAAGCAACTTCCAAAACTCTAGAATGGACAGAGATATCACACTGCCTGGACAGTCACTCAAAGTTCTTCTGTAATACTGGGGCATCTATCTTCAGCCTGCAGGCCCATAGTATCTGGCAGACTTTTCCATGAAGCAGGAAATTTGAAAGATGGTTTTGCTTCTATTGGCAGTGTGTCAGACACTTTCTTCTGTGTCCTACCAAATGTCCTGCAGTTTCTTTTATGAAGCAGGAACCCTGAAGGACCATCCTGTCTTTTGGAAAGTTCAGCAGTTACTGTGGGTCCTGCATGTCCGGTTCATACAGCATACCGTCAAGCAGTCCAGAAAAGAATAGTTTCTTGCCCAAATGGCTAGCCTCGTCACACTGAAGGCAAATTCCACAATGATTTTCTTCAATGCTCAGCAACCTCTCTGAAGTAATTACTGCCAAAAGCAGACATGGCTCACTGTTGAGAAGTCTAAGTTCTTAAAATATTTTACATGCCATATTCTTTAAGTCTTTGAAGTGTTGAAGATTATATGTGTAACTGAAAAATATCTGTGTATATTTAGAAAATCTAATAACATGACTATAGTTTGACTATTGTAGATGACTATTAATCTGTATTTCTTAATTATACATTATATTTTTCAGTGAGCTACACAAACATAATACCTTAAACAAGAACAGAAATACATCTACACAGTGTAACAAAATCAACCTTAAAACATATCAGTAGACCAAGATCCATACCAATTCAAAGTGTTAATCTTCATATCATATCCCCCTTATCTGCAAACTGCAAATTCAGAAGTCAAGAACACAAGTTACTAAAAATTTGGAGAAAAATAGCAAAGTAATGGTTAATAAAGGTTAAAACATAGGTAGGCATGCTAGCACATGCTTAGAGTCACAGGAAGTGGAGGCAGGAACTGCCATAATTTCGAGGCCAGCTTGGGCTATAACAAAGACTCTGTCTCAAAAAACAAATGAACCAAAACCAAAACAATTTTACGAATGTGGTGGACATACCTATAATCTCAACACTTGAGAGATCAGGAGTTCAAAGCAAGCAAAGGGACATATCAACTTCAAGGCTAGCCTGAACTATGAGATCTTATCTCAGGCCAAAGGTTGACAAAATAATTACTGGGGGGAACAAAAAATTTAAATAGGGAATGGGACATAGGTAGGGTAGGATGGCCTGCGATGTTTCTACTGGGTCTCAGAATGGCTTGAGACTTGAAACTAGAGACCCATTACTTTGATGAAAACAAAAGCCAAATCTTGTTCTCTTTTATGAAGCTTGTAAGGTATGGGGGCTGTAGGTAGGCCAGTGAGATGGCTCAGTGGGTAAAGATGACTCCCACCAGCATGATGCCCTCAGTTCATTTCCGGGACCCACATGGTGGAAGGAAAGAATGGACTACTGCAAGTTTTTTTCTAACCTTCCACACAGGCTATGGCACATGTGTGTGACCAGATACATTGTCTCTGACAAATAATGTAATAGAACTTATAAGTGCTTAAGAACCACATCCCATATTGTTATATTTGTTACAGTACAGCCTAGTTCCACTTAGTAACAGGGACACAGTCTAAAGAATGCATCAGGAGTCAATTTTCACTGTGGGGATATCCTAGGGCATGACCACACAGAGTGCTACAATGTTACTAGGAGAAGTAATCTTTTTGTTTGTTTTTTTGAGACAAGGTTTCTCAGTAGCTAGGAGCCAGTCCTAGAACTCGCTCTGTAGACCAGGCTGGCCTCCAGCTCACAGAGATCCTCCTGCCTCTGCCTCCCCAGTGCTGGGATTAAAGGTGTATGCAACTTCTGCCCTGCTAGGAGAAGCAATCTTATGGGACCTCCTCCATATGAGCAGTCAGTCCTTATGGATCAAATGTGATTGTAAGTATGACTGAGCCAAAGGATATTTCAAGGCTGGAAGAGCCAGCCTGCCTAGGAATGGGTCAGTCTCTTCAAAGACCAAAATGATATGCCCTCCAGCCTGTGAAGGGTTGGTACTCTGCTTGTCTGGAGACAGACATCCTGAGGTCAGAATTATTATTTCAACATTTAAAATAGATTTCCAAGTGTGTTTATTCATAGATTCGTGAAGAGAGTGAAAAACCCTTAGCATTCCAGGGAAAGGAAACACCCTCACAGTTAACCCTATCCACATTCTACCTGTATGTATGTCAGGCTCTGTATGCCTCACTGCTGATCACTGCAGAACACCCATGCTTGATAGTTCTGGGAACTCCGTGGATCTGAAGGTCCAGGGTAGGAACTAGACAAAAACAAGAGACGTTGAGAGGTCAAAAGAACACAAAGTTGGAGAAATGGGGGAGGGGCTGTCAGGGGTGAGACAAGCCAGTTCATGGAGTGTCCAAAGTCACAGGCATGCCAGCATCTTTGCTCATTCTCATTAATGGGCTAGGACGCGCCATGCTTCTGACCCCAACCAAGCTTCTTAAGAAGAGCAGCAGAGGCATTCCTCTCTAAGGAGTGGGATTTCGTTCTTCCGCGGATTTACCGTCCACTGGCATGATGGACTCTTGAGGTGGGGGAGAGAAGGAAAAGGAAGAGAGTCAGGCTACAAGCAGGAAGGAAGATCTGCCTGCCTCAGTGGAGGGCAGGGAGGGAAGGGAGTGGGCGTGGCTTGTCTCATAAAGAGAACAGATCATGATCTACGAGTCTTCCCAATACATGGGAGGTGGGAAGCCAGAGGAAGGTCTTTAGCTACATAGATAGTTTGAGGCCAGCCTAGACTACATGAGACCTGTCTCGAAAACCAAAACAAAAGTTTGGGGGAATCTGGGATACAGTCCTTTGGTAAAACAGTTACCTGGCATTTGTGAGGCCCTGAGTTCCATCCCAGCAAAACATGGGAGTGCAACACACACACATTTGGGGGGCTAGAGAGATGGAGCAGCAGGTAAGGCTCTTGCCACTGAGCATAAGAACCTGAATTCAGCTGGGTGGTGGTGGCCAACACCTTTCATCCCAGCACTAGAGAGGAAGATGCAGATGAATAATCTCTGAGTTCAAGGCCAGCCTGGTCTATGGCGCGAGGGCCAGGACAGCTAAGGCTACACAAAGAAACCCTGTTTTGAAAAACAACAACAGCAGCAACAAACCTGAATCTGATCCCTGAGGTCCAAAAGGTGGAAGGAGAGGCCGTCTTCTAAGTACACACGTGCTATAGCATGCATTCTTTACATGCATGCCATGTGCCCATGAATGTAACAAAAACTAAAACACCAAACCTGCGGGGCCGGTGAAATGGCTCGGCTAGTAGAGTGTTTGCCCTGAGAGCATGATGACCTGAGTTCAGATCCTACCCCACCCACAGCATCCACAGTAGAGCCGAATTCAGAGGCGTGTCTGTAACCCTGGCACTGGGGGTTGTGGAGGAGACAGCTGGTGACAGTGACTGCCTGAGTTTGGTCCTTGGGACTCACACAGGTAGAAGTAGAGAACCAACTCCTAGAAATTGTGCTCTAAACTCCATGTATGCCACAACACATACATGTGCCGGTCTGTCTGTCTCCATCTCTCTGTCTCTGTCTCTCCACACACACACACATACACAAAGTAATAAAATAACTGCAACAATAAAAAACTACGAGTAATTTTTTGAGACAGGGTCTTACTATGCATCCCTGCCTGCCTGGAACTAGCTATATAGACCAGGCTGGCCTGGTTTGGAACTTACAGAGATCCATCTGCCTTTGCCTCCTGAGTGCTTGGATTAAAGCCATGTACCACCATGCCTGGCCAAATTAAATACATTTAAAAATATAAAGTAGGGGCTGAAGGAATGGTTCAGTGGTCAGAGGACTTCGTTGCTCTTATGAAGAACCTAGGTTTAGTTCCTAGCACCCACGTGCCAGCTCTCAGTTGTCTGTAACTCTAAATCAAGTGCTTGCGTGTACATGGACACACACACGCATGTACACATGCATACGCATAATTAAAAATGAAATCTTAAAATAAGGTGTAGAGACTGACCTGAGGTTAACCTCTGACCTTCACACATGCTGGACACACATGTATTCACATCCTCATGCACACGTGCACAAGTGTGGACATATACATACATCACACACATGCCCATACACATGAGCTTGAGAAGAGAGGAAAGTTTAGAAAACTGCCCATAGTGTATAGTCTAGAGGTCACCTGATCTGAGGCTGCTCCCCAAGCCTACCTTCCTGGGCACACACAAACTTAGAGTTGGCATCTTCCTCTCTGCTCCCAGACTGTATTTCCTTCACATTCCTAGTGTAATACCTGGGGGACCCACTCCTCCTGCCAGGCTTACCGTTTTAACTCTGTTCCCTCGGAGACAGCTGAGATTAGTTTTCGTGTGCAGGGCAGGATGGTCAGAGCAAAGGGCAGAGGTAAGAAAGGGTGAGTGATGAGCCCCCAGCTGGCTACGGCACTGTGGCAAACCCATCACCCACCAGGCTGTGCATAGCTCTGTGGAGATTCAGAGCGGTTCTTGAGAATGGAAGATCCAAGTGGGCATTATGGGGTCACCCAGCCCTCCTGGCTCAGTGCCCATCCTCAAGACAGCACTGGGGGATGACCAAAGTCCAACATGCAGTTGGGAAGTACCCAGGCACTGAGCCGATGGCTGCCAACATGGATGCCAGAGTGTTTGAATCTGAGTGGCTGTCCACCGGGAGGCCAGTCTGGGGTCCAAGGGAATCCTCAGAGATCTCAACCTGCCTGTGAACTTGAAGCTGTATGACCTTTTCTCTCTCGATGCAAGGGTTCCACATACTTAATAGTTCTGTCGTGGGTGATGGCTGAGGAAAAACATCCAGCCCCAAACCTAATATGTCCTTGACTCTTTTCCAGGAATTGATCACAAGACGACCACCATCCTGCTGGATGGCCGAAGAGTGAAACTGCAGCTTTGGTGAGTTGGGGGCTGTGCCAGTCGGGATGCCCCAGCCCTGGAACCAGCCCCTTTAGTCCTAGCTGGAGCTGATGGCGTTCCCCTAAGATGTTGACTCGGCTGTCTGAGTCCATTATTTAAGGGGATGTGCACCTAGGATGTGTCCGAGAAAGAGCGCTTGTTGGTAGAAGACACCTGGTTGTCACCTGCTTCCTCTTTCAGTTCATTGGGTGCTGTCAGAGATAGAAGTAGAGTGGCCAGGACAGCTCGGTTCTCTCAGCCTCAGTTCTGAGTGTACAGAACAGAGCTCACAGTGTCCTGGTTCCAAGGCTAGGGGCCTTGTTTGATCACCTGGGCTACAGCTCCCTCTATTCTGGTCTTCCTGGCAGGCACCACACCAGTCTTGAGTTCAGCTAAACAGCGCCTGTCCGCCTCATTCTCTAGGACCTACACCTGGGAACTTGGGGCTCATTCTCTCTCCTGAGCTCCCTTGACCTTTGGGTGTTCTCGCTGGAATGCCAAATTGTAGTTGTTTTTTACTCTTTGAATTCTTTACTCTTTTAGGGGGCCCACCACCCAGCCCCCAAATAAATCACACAGAAGCTTTGTCTTTCTTATAAAAGCCTGGTCTTAGGTTGGCTTGTTTCTAGCCAGTTTTTCTTACATTATCCTGTCTATCTTTTGCCTCTGGGTCTTTATCTTTCTCATTTCTGTGTACCTTTCTTTACTTCTTTCTCAGTGGCTGTGTAGCTGGGTGGCTGACCCGTGATGTCCTCCTTTCCAGATTTCTTCTCCTATTTATTCTCTCTGCCTGCCATCCCTGCCTATCCTTTTTCCTGCCTGATACTGGCCATTCAGCTCTTTATTAGACCATCAGGTGTTTTAGACAGGCAAAGAATCACAGGTTCACAGAGTTAAACAAATGCAGCATAAACAAAAGCACCACATCTTAAAATAATCTTAACATTGTTAAAGACAAATGTTCCAGAGCATAAACAAATGTAACACACCTTAAAATAATACCCTACAACATTTGGGGAGATACATCTGAGGTTGCACCTCTAGTCCCCTGGCTCTGTCTCAAGATGCTGAGTTTAACCAGGCGATGGTGGCGCATGTCTTTAATCCCAGCACTCGGGAAAGAGACAAGGGCGTCTCTGTGAGTTTGAGGCCAGCCTGGTCTACAGAGCAACTGCCATGACAGGCTCCAAAGCTACACAAAGAAACCCTGTCTCAAAAAAAAAAAAAAAAAAAAAAAAAGGAGAAAAAAAAAGACGCTGCGTCTACAGCAGCGTGCATGGCCTAACCCACTCTGGGAACATCCTTTCTTCTTCCTGTAGTTTCTTGGCATGCTGGCCTGGCCTGAGAACCGCACTCCTGGTGTGTGTCATCATCTGCGGAGGATCTGCTTATGAAGCAACTGGGTATCAAAGAAGGATCTATCTTGCGTAATCATCGAAAAAATTTATTCTGTGCTAGAGATGGAACCCAGTGCCTTGCTTGCATGAGGGAAATATACTGCCACCAAGCTATATTCCTAACCTTAAAAGAACTTTTAAAATTTAAGTTAGGTTTACTTAAATTTCTGAGGATAATGTTATGGGCCCAGCACCCTTCCACTACTCCACTCTGCTGCCTCTGAGAATAAACTTAAAATCCCCTGCTAGGTTTCTAGTCTGACTTTTTGTTTTGTTGAGATAGGGTCTCACTATGTAGCCCCAGGTGGTGGAACTTGCTGTATAAACCAGGCTGGTCTTGAACTCTTAGAGATCTGCCTGTCTCTGCCTCTAGAGTATAGGGATTGAAGGCGTGTGTCCCCAAGCCTGGGTGCTAGTTTGACCTTTAAAGTACATATTAGGGACCGTAGAGATATGTCAGTATTAAGAGCACTTGCTGTTCATCCAGAGGACCTGGGTTTGGTCCCTAGCTCTACCTGTGGCTCAAGGTTATCAAGTAACTCCAGGTCCAGAGACTCTGACACCCTCTTCTGGTCTCTGCAGCATTCATCCAGTGTACAAAATCTCACACAGACACAGGTACACATTAATAAAAACAAACAAATCTCTTTTTAAAAAGATATTAAAGACAGGCTTGGTGGCACATATCATCACTGGGAGCAGGAAAGTCAGAGGGTCATTTCAAGCTTGGGTTAAGCCTGGGTTACATAAAGAAACCCTGTCTCAGAACAACCAGTCAGGTGTGGTGGTGTCCACTTTTTAAATCTCAGTGCTCAGGGGACTGAGGCTACAGAGTAATACCCTTTCTCAAAAAAACAACTCAGGGAGCCAGGTGGTGGTGGCACCCACCTTTAATCCCAGCACTCGGGAGGCAGTGGCGGGCAGATCTCTGTGAGTTCAGGGCCAGCTTGGTCTACAAGACCTATTTCAGGACAGGCTCCACAACATCAGAGGAACCCTGTCTAGAAAAACAAAGAAAAGAAAAAAAATAGGGGCCGTCAAGATGGCTCAGTGGGTAGTGGTGCTTGTCCTCAAGACTGATGAGCTGAGTGTGACACTCAGTATTGAGGAACAGGCTCCCACAAATTGTCCTCAACCTTCACACATATACACGCGCGCGCACGCACACACACACACACACACACACACACACACCATAGGGAATGTAGTGCCACGATCTCTCCAGAAAATTCAAGAGGGCTGTGTGGTGGCCTTGTCTTGGATTGGCAGGTCATGGCCACCAGCACAATGACTGTAAAAGGTACTTGCTGTGGCTCCAAAGTTTAAGAAGGTGGTCGTCAAGAAGAAACACCAGTTCCTCCTAACAGTCTCCAACGTCTTTTCCAGGGACACCTCAGGGCAGGGGAGATTTTGTACCATATTCCGCTCGTACTCCAGAGGCGCACAGGTAATCGCATTCCGGGACTGGAGATCAAATTGATTTTGAAAAATAGCGTTTACGGATTCTTACTCAGCCACTTCCTTTATGGCTGAACTAGAAGATAAGTGAAGCCTATATATAAATTTATGCAGGTCATGTGCTATAATCTGGTGGCTTATGTTTCTTCGGCATCCCAGATGCATTCTCATGAGGGCCTGAATGTATGTGTACATGCATGTGACTATCTGTATTTGAGCTTCTTATCTATGTATAAGCATGTCCATGTGTCCACTTTGCATTTTCATTAGGTGGCAACGTCCCCATATCCTATGCCCCAGACAAGCTTATAGATATAAGTTCCAGCCCCTAGCTCAACTATTTAAGCATCTATCAGTGAGCGTGTAGAACATCATGGGAAATAACTCCTATAAGGAATAGACAAATCAAAATTACATGCTTTTGTCAACGTATGTAAAATGATTAGTTAGGGACCAGGCAAAGTGGTGTATAACTTTAATTCCAACACGTGGGAGACAGAGGCAGGTGGATCTCAGTGAGTTCCAGGCCAGCCTCATCTATACAATGAGATACTGTCTTGATTTTTAAAAATAATTTTGTCTCCTCAAATCTCTGGACCAAGCTTGCCTCTTGTGTTCTTCTGTGTGCTGATCTTTGTGGCTTTGCTCCCAGGGTGTGATCCTGGTCTATGACATTGCCAACCGGTGGTCCTTTGATGGCATCAACCGATGGATTAAGGAGATTGATGAGGTATGATATGAGACATTGGCCAGAGGTTCAACAACAGGGAGAATGCTTCACCTTACAGCTGGGCCAACAGTGAGACCCAGGGACCCTAAGGTTCGGGAAGCTGGGCTCTGCTGTGCCTCGACTCAGGCATGCAGGTTCCTGGCTGGAGGGAGGGGTGAGTGGGCAGTGATGGAGCTGCTGCTTGTCCAGCTGCTGGCTGAGACCTGGTGCATGAGCACCAAGCTTGCTGATGCTGACTTTGTGGCTTTCCTAATAAAGGGCCACAGGTCGAGTGTTTTAAAACAGCATTAATGTCCTCCAAGTCCTGGGGGACAGAAATTGGCAGGGCCATGTTCTTCCAAAAGCTCCAGGACAAGACTCTTTCTGCCTATCCCAACTTCTGATGGTTGCAGCTACCCTAGGCAGTCATTCTGCTTTCTTTGTCACATGGCATTTCCCTGTGCCCCCTCTGTGTCCTCTCCTACCCTTATGAGGGCACCTGCCATTAGAACAGTTCCCTTACCCCTGCAATTCAGTAAGGCTTCACCTTCAGTTATTGTGTATACAAAGACCGTATTTGCAGTAGGGTACCACTGAGGTTCTGGGTGGACATGAACTTGTAGGGGTACACCACTCAAACTGTTTTCCTTGCCTGTCTCATGCTCTAGCATGCCCCTGGAGTTCCTAAAATCTTGGTGGGAAACCGGCTGCACCTGGCATTCAAGCGGCAGGTGCCCACAGAACAGGCCCAGGCCTACGCCGAGCGCCTGGGTGTGACCTTCTTTGAGGTTAGCCCTCTGTGCAACTTCAACATTACAGAATCCTTCACTGAGCTGGCCAGGATCGTGCTGCTGCGGCATGGGATGGACCGTCTCTGGAGGCCAAGCAAGGGTATGCTAAGGGGACCAGTCCAAGTCTCCTTTAGCCCATCAGATGGGAGGTGGTTCTATAGCCCCCTGCACGACTGTCTGCCTCCTAGGACTTCTCTCAAGGCTTCTGTGCCCATTCTCAAAAATCCAATCATTTCATGGCTCTGAGATGGCTGAGTGGGGAAAGGTACCTGCTGCCAAGCTGCCAACCTGAGTTTGATCCCTGGAATCTCCATGGAGGGCCTTTGACCTCCGTGTGTAGGGTGTGTCATGCACACACAAGTGCATACACACAGATACACACACAATTAGTTAATTAGACAAACAAATGCATAAATAAAATGTTCACTTTTTAAAAGCAAATGTATTTAAAAGGAGTAATCATTGCTGCTTTGGAAGAAAGCTCATGGGAAGATTTTTTTCTTTTTTGTGGTCTGTATATGGGCAAAGGTGGAGGCAGAACAGGGTTTGCTACATTCATCAGTGACACAGCCTCTTGGTTGAGGTTCCTAGTTCCTGGGGGGAGGCAATCAGATTTGGGGCTTCCCCTTGTAAACATCCCTCATTATGGAAACCATAACGTAAGTGGTTCTCTTTTCTTTTATCAAGTACTGAGTTTGCAAGACCTCTGCTGCCGTGCTGTGGTGTCCTGCACACCTGTGCACCTGGTAGACAAGCTCCCGCTCCCTGTTGCCTTAAGAAGCCACCTTAAGTCGTTCTCTATGGCCAATGGCCTGAACGCCAGGATGATGCATGGCCGTTCCTACTCCCTAACTGCCAGCTCCAGCCACAAGAGGAGCAGCTTCTGCAAAGCCAGGGCCAGCCGCGCACCCCAGAGCCCACCCAGAAACTGTACCAGGAATGGCTGCAAAATCTCTTAGAGCCTGGAATTGGGGGCACTGGCCTGTCATCCAGCAACTCAAGAGTCTGAGGCAGGAGGATCACAAGCTCAAGGCTCACCTGGGCTCAAGGCCAGCCTGGGCAACTAATGAGACCCTGCCTAAAAATTACGAAGTGAAGAGAGCTGGCTCTCTAGGAGAGTCTGGAGGACAGAGACCATTCTAGACTCAAGAAACATAGTCTCCATCACTCCCAGTAACGATGCTGCTTTCGTGTGGAATGCCTATGCCACCGGTGTGGTGTGAATGCCCAGTGTGCCGTGACTGACACTTGTGTGTGGATGTGCATGAAGCTCTTGTTCTGGACTTGTGTGTGCAAAGGGAAAAATTAGTATTCTGCTCTACTGTTGATAATATGAAATTATGGATGTTACCTTTATCATGATTGCTGTGCAACTTTTTCTGTCACTGCTTTTGTATGGCTGATAAAATGTGTGTAGTGAATACATATTCAAGGAAATCTCAGAGACAATGATAGTCAGATAGGCTAGCATCACTGGTATTACAAGAGGGGCTTTTTGTAAACCTTTTCATGTCAAAGGTCAATTTATAAAAGTGCTGCAGCTGCACACAGAGATTGTGTACCACAGATCTGTCCCATTTGGGTAGGACATGGATTTGATAAAGTTTTTGCTATGTCATTTACTACATTTTGGGATTAATAAGTAATCTATATTCATATTTTTCTGTAAACCTACATTTTTTGTACAAAGTGTTCTACAAGTTACGAAGCTACAGGAAGAAAATGCCAAAGATATCTCCAATTATGTTGAGCATAACCAGCATTGTTTCAACTGATTGCAAGGAGAAAGGTGTTTCAGTAAACAATGGAATAGAAACCGTATTATTTAAGGGAATATTTCTCAATAAAGTGGATATTGTTCCTCTCTTTGAAAATTTGTGATACCTCTTTCTAGATCTAAGTCGTGGCAGCCCTTTTCTTCATTTGACTCCTTGCTTGGTGTGGCCAGCGAGGATGGTTTTGGTTCACGATGCTTACCACAAAGGTTAGGTTTTGACCTTTGTAACCTTTGGGAAAGATTTCTTTCCCAGGTAAGAAACACAAGCTGGGCAGCGGTGACTCACACCTTTAATACCAGCACTCCGGAGAGGCAGAGGCAGGAGGAGCTCTGTAGAGAGTGAGTTCCAGAACAGCCAGAGGTACACAGAGAAACCCTGTCTCGAAAAAACCAAAACCAAAACTAAAAATAAATAAAGGAAGGAAGGAAGGAAGAAAGGAAGGAAGGAAGGAAGGAAGGAAGGAAGGAAGGAAGGAAGGAAGAAAGAAAGAAAGAAAGAAAGAAAGAAAGAAAGGAAAAAGAAAAAAAGATAATGCAGAGAAAAGGAGCAGCGTTGGGTGCGGGGCTGATGGCTGCTGCCCCCGTTCTGGGTGCGGGGCTGATGGCTGCTGCCCCCGTTCTGGGTGGGGGGCTGATGGCTGCTGCCACCGTTCTGGGTGCGGGGACTAATGGCTGCTATCCCTCGTTCTGGGTGCGGGGGCTAATGGCGGCTATCCCTTGTTTTGGGTGCGGGGGCTAATGACTGCTGCCCCCGTTCTGGGTGCGGGGCTAATGGCTGCTGCCCCCGTTCTGGGGATGTTGAAGCAATTTTGCTGTGATAGTTAGACCAACATGGAACTACACAGTGATTTCCAAGGTTAGAGTGAGACCTTGTCTTTACAAAATAAAGTGACAACAACATCCCTGTGTTTCCTGGCAAATGTCAGAGTTTATTGTCCCTTACTGAAGCAGAGAGCTGTGGCCAGGCATTTCCCTACAGATGAAACCCTTGTCACTCTTTTGACCAAAAACCCTACTGATTCTACAAAGGCTCAAGTCTAGGTCTCTTTTCTGGTCCTGCTACTTGGGAAGCAGGGCACAAGAAGGGATTAAATAACAACAAGTGAACTAAGATAAAGCTCGGATATTCTATGATTTTTGTTAGTGCTTTACAGATTTAACAATTTACAGGACTCCAGAGACATAGAAATGATGTCCTCAGAGAAGACGGAACACAGCTGTGTGGTCCACTGAAGACTTGAAGCTAACAGGTGAGCATCCTGCTGTGTGGAGAAAGTTCCTTAAATGTCTTTTCCTCCCCTCTTCAGTGCTGCTGGGACGGATGGTGGGCTGTGTGGGAGAGAGCCCCAGCTAAGTCAGCCACTCCACATAGGTTCTTATGCCTCAGCTTAGGGAATACATCACATGCACACACCACCATGTCCAGACCTGTTTTTTTTTGTTTGTTTGTTTTTTGGTTTTTTTTTTTTTTTTGTAAACTCCTGGGACCTGGAGCCTTTTGGAAGCCTGATATCTGTGGAACATACAGGCTGCCCAGAGGTTTTGCCTTTGTTCCCCAGGACCTTTGAGAGCGAACACAGCCCTCATGCACTTTGATTTTGAACCTCTGCCTTCCAGACTGCTGTAGAATAGATACATTTTTTTCACACCGAGTCTGTCATAGTTTATGATGGGGACCTGAAAAAGTGATAGAGCCAGCAAGTGCTACAGCAAATTTCTGTAGAATGAAAGTTATCAAATGGAACATATTAAGAAAAGTATTTATGCTGGGGCTGAGGGATGGCTCAGTGGTTGACAACACTGGCTGTTCTTCCAGAGGTCCTGAGTTCAAGTCCCAGCCATCTGTAATGAGATCTGGTGCCCTCTTCTGGTCTGCAGTCATTCAGACACAACACATAATCAATAAATAAATCCTTTAAAAAAAAGTGTTCATGCTTTGGTGGTGAATACACAGAAAGTATAGCTGAAGTGCAGGTTAAACCCCAGTGAACCTTTGCCATTTTCCCCTGTGGCATTCACTGGAAAGTCTGAGCATGGGTTCATTAATCCCAGGTGTGTGAGCTTCTCTTCAAACTCTGAGATGCAAAACATATCACACACGATTATGTCTTCATTTGCCCTGTGAAAATGGCTGCATTGCAGAGATTTTCCTACCCAGAAAGCTTTTTTTTTTACCTGATATTATTTAGGCTAGCCATTGAGCTAGAGATTGCTCAGTAGTTATGAGTACCTCCTGCTCTTACAGAGGACCTGAATTTGGTCCCCAGCATCCACATCTGGTGACTTATAACCACCTGTAACTCCAGCTCTAGGGGAATCTAACTTCCTCTTCTGGCCTCCGAGGGTACCCTCACCCATATGGCATATACTTACATAGAAACACACACACTTAAAAAATAATAAATCTTTAAAATTTATGTAGACAAAGTAAGTGCATTATAGATGTCACGGTGGTGTTTGCTTTTGCAAAAATTTGGAGATCCCAGACTCACTTTGCTGAGAAAAAAGCTTCATCAAATTAAATGTGGTTTTCATTAGCAAAACCAAAGCTGCTTGTTAGTGAGGTAACTCAAATCAGGCTGTAAGGGGAGGGGGGCTCACAAGCTCTCCCTGTGAGACTCACTTCTTTCCCAGGTTGTTGGATGGGGCAGAGAGATGGATGAGCAATCTTGGGTCATCTGAAGAACTCTCACAAAAATTACCCAAGATGGGATAGTTTACAAATAACAGAAGTATTAGTCTCACAGTTTGGAAGCTCTGGAGGACTCCTACACGACGGCTCGCTACTTCCAAGATGCTGTCTTTACTGGGGGAAAGGGTGGTAAAGTTAGGGAGAGGCCAGTGAGGAAAGAAGGGATCCTGAGAATAGTAGCCATTCAAGTTTGAGTGGTCTAACTGGGGTCTAAACCTCTGTGACCAGGACACCCCAACCAACAGCCCCCACCCCGTGATTAGTGCGGGAGGAGGGGGTGGAGGAGAACTTTCCTTCAAGGGTTGTGTCCTATGAGGCTCTTGGAGTGAGGGAGGTGTCTCTTGGGGGAATCTGTGTCTGTGGGAGGTCAGTCGGTTGAGGGAGCCCAAAAAGACACAAGAGATCGACTGTGTCGGTTTCTTGGCGAGGGTCCGTTTCTTGGAAAACGCAAGTGCGAATTCAAGAAGGCTGCTTCTGGGGGAACGTGCGTTCGTGGGAAGGCGGCCAGGGTTCCGAGAGAATCTGCGACGTGGGCAGGCGTGTCGGGCGCGGTCCCGTCAATCCTGCCCGGCTGTGTGAGAGCCGAGGCACCTACCTCCCTCCGCAGCTCCTCCTCCGATCCGTCCACCCCGCCCCTCACGGACGCGCTCGGCTTTCCCCGGCCACCAGCTTCCCGGGGCTAGAAAGCCTCTGGCGCTTGGAGCTCGCAAGCTGCGCGCGCGCACCAGCGGGTCCGCGCGCACTGACGACGCACGCGCTGACGACACACGCACGACGCAAGCCCCTAGGACCGTCGCTTCCGGCCGCGGCGGCCCTAGCGCCGCGCGACGGGGTAGATCGTCGGGTTTTGAGCGGAATGCGGTGTTGAGGGGCGAGGGACCCCCCGCTCCCCCCGCGACGGCACCATGAACCTTCTGCCGTGTAACCCCCACGGCAACGGGCTGCTGTATGCCGGCTTCAACCAGGACCATGGTGAGACTCCGGGCCCGGCTCCGTGGCAGTAACCCCAGCCCTTCCGGGAGACCCCGACACTGCAGGGCCCCGGATCTGTCTGTCGCGAGTGTCTCCCTCGACCCTAACGGGAGACCTCGGTCACGCCCTGAGACCCCAGACTCTTGGGAGAGATCTCCGAACCACCCTGTATGGAGACATCCCCACCCCCCCGCTTTTCCAGCCAGGGCAACCACAGCGTGGCGAGCACACCCCCCCAACCCTTGTCCCTGCGGACGCGCTGCCTCTCCCCGCGGGCAGCCTCACTTTGTACCGGGTGCCTAGACCACGCAGGCTTACTGCTGGGCATAAGGGTCTTAAAGCGTTTACGTTGCCATCGGGTGTCGTCGAAGGTCCTACCGGTCACGGAGCGGCAGTTTGTCGTGGTTCTTGTGGGCTGGCATCTTGATGCAGGTCCCAGCAATACCCCTCTTCCTCCCCTCCGGTGTTTTCTTCTGTTCAATAGAATGAAAAGACGTCTATGATTTGCCTTTTTGGGAGCCGCTCTATGAGTTTTGGGGTCTTGGGGGAGATGTTTTTTATCACTGTGTGCTAAAAGATGTGGGCAGGAACCCCTGCCTCCGATGTCAAGTTCCCTTTTTTTTTTTTTTTTTTTCCGGAACAGGGTTTCTCTATGTAACCATGGGTGTCCTGGAACTCACTCTGTAGACCAGGCTGGCCTCAAGCTCTGATTCACCTCACCTGCCTCTGCCTCCTGTGAGCAATGATTAGAGTGCGGCTCTCCGCCTAGCTCAGTTACATTTTTCTAAATCTCTCCAAAGGAAGAGAAAACTGTAAAGGCTGTTATTCTGGGCTTCTAAGAGTTTTAACATCTTGGCATTCAAAAATAAGATTTTTGAAGGCACTTCAGCAAATGTATGATTTCCTATCCCAGAAAAATGAGCTTAACTTGAATTTTGTTGTTGTTGGGACAGGATCTTGTTCTCTTGGCCAAGCTTATCTTGAGCCAAGGGATCTTCCTACCCACAGCCTCTGGGGTAGGTGGGATTACAAGGCTGATTCTACTACTGCCCCTGGCTAAGAAGATGGTTTTTTCCTTTAAAAAAAAAAACCTTTAAGTTTATTTTTGAGATGGTTGCACTGTGTATCTCTGACTGTTCTGGAATCATGGAGATCCCCTCCCTATACCTCCACCTAGCCATTTTTGTTTTTGAGATGGAGTCTCACTCACTGTGTGAACTGTGCTGATCCTCCTGTTTCATATACCATACTCACACCATCCCTCTTAAAATAATTTTTAAGTAATTTATTCTGAGGTGCTGGGGTACAAAAAATAATTTTAAGTAGGTAGTACTATTGTATATCTTATCTATATATATATTTACTTGGAGTTCATGGGCTAGGTGTTTCAGGAGATTTGAGGGATGCATTTAATATGATCAAAACCCAAGGGATAGCTATA